AAAATCGGAAGACACCTGGGGCACCGGGACCCCCGAACAACGGAAAAAATCCGATGACGAGAGTAGTCCCTCTGAGCGAGCTAGCACGGGAACCGTCGGCCCGGGATCCCCCGGGGCGACCGGCTCCGTATCGCTCATAATGCACCCGGCCGACAGCGCCTCAGGCCCCGTGGGCTGAGCGAGCGCTGGACGGACCGGTAGCCCGTGCAATAGCCCATCCCGACAACCAGTGGTGTTCGGCACTGTGTCGGGAGGGCACGGGTGACTAGAGCCCACCGAAGTGTGACGGCTAGTCCCCTCGGGCTGCCCCGTGATCGGGGGAGGGCTAGGTGCCAAAGCGGCGCTCGTTGCCGAGCCACGCTTGCCCTGACGGCCCTTCTTAGGCTTTGCTCCGGCACAGGAGATATGTTTTAGGGGAACCTTGCCGGAGTGAGCCTTTAGTTTGGGTGTTCCGCCCGAGTTGACCGGAGAAGGTGACCGAGGTCCCCTTAACTGATCGGCGGAACTGCCAACTCCCTCAGCCGACTGTGGCTGAGGGTGCCGGACGAGAGACTGCTGCCGCGGTAACGTCGGAGCGTTAACGGCAGAGTCCCCCGAGAACTCGGTCCGTCCCGTGGGAGAGCTATCCCTTACGGTTAGTGACAGATCAGCCCTCCCCAAACGCTTCATATTTATGAAATAAATTAAACCAAGAAGATGATGAAACTCTACAAACTAATGATTACTAATCTTTTATTAAATACTTCTCTTAAACGCAAAAAAGGGTAGTAAATGACGAGGCAAACAGCGAGCTATTTCACGCACGTCCTACCCGACCTGCCGCTAAGAGAAAAGAGGACGCTCACGAGGCACGCATGTCGCGGGGTATTATGGGTAGGGCGCCAGAGGGCGCTATTGTATATAACTCTTAGCGAAAATACCTGCCGGTAGGGGGAATATGCATAAGTAGTATTGCTCTACAGGTAAGTAGAGTGAAGTAGACTTGAACAGGCAAGTGTTTTGCATTTGCATTAAGTAGTTATACAGTTCCTGTTTGCCCACGGTTTGGTATATACTGCAGTTTATAGTTGTTGCTATGTATTTTTCAACCACGTTGAAAGGAGAAAAAAAAAATTAGAATTAAAGTCATTTTGTAATTGTCCTGTTTGATGTTCAAGCAAGTTTTTTTTTTTCCTGTACAGACAAAGGAGCTTAAGTTTAAGGACTTGTTAGTTGCTCCAAAAGACCATGGTTCTTACAAATAAAATGGACCAAACCGAAGTGAATGAAAGACATGATTATCCTTCGTTTCATTTCTTTACAGTTAGAGCGGTGGTGTTTTTTTTACGGGACAGTTCCAGTTTCGCTCGTACCCACCGCCCTGCGCCAGTAGGGACAAGAGTTCAATCCAACACACACAATAACCGCAACTGTAATCGACTTATCGGGTATAATGGGAGACTTTAATGAACAAAGGCGAGAACGCACATTGAGCGATAACGATAGAACGGAGACAAACAGGTCGAAGGTCACGAACGCAAGAGGGCGTTATCATTACTACTGGCGTGGCCTCTTTTTTTCTCTTTTGAAACAAGGCAAAGAACTTAAACGCTGCCACCATGCCAGTAGGGACAAGAGTTCAATCCAACACACACAATAACCGCAACTGTAATCGACTTATCGGGTATAATGGAATCGACTTATCGGGTATAATGGGAGACTTTAATGAACAAAGGCGAGAACGCACATTGAGCGATAACGATAGAACGGAGACAAACAGGTCGAAGGTCACGAACGCAAGAGGGCGTTATCATTACTACTGGCGTGACCTCTTTTTTCTCTTTTGAAACAAGGCAAAAAACCTAAACAATGAGTCCCTCTTACAGTAAAATATATTAGAAGGAGAACGAAGAATATGTTTTTTTTGTTGCTGCGCTCAATTGAAACAAGAAACAAAAGCTAAACATGTAATATCAAAATCTAATCTAATGCTACATAAAGAAAGAAAAATGGGCCTTCATAGGGGTAGACTGCCTTCCAGCCCTGGGGATTATTCTGCCACACATGTGCCACTCCATAGGAAGGCATTATATATCTTGTCCTAAACACTACCAGTGTTCACACAGTCACGGATCAGTGTCAATAATCAGTCAAGTAGTCATCAAGGTATGCGGGTGGTTTGCGTAGGCGGGATGAGCGTCTTGCGGGTGAGCGTGGGCAAGAGATGCTCATGTCTCCAGGGCTGTCTGTAGGAATCGTGGGCTGTGGAGTAGGCAACACGTGAATAGGTACCTCTGCTACTTGTGGTGCATGCTCAGCTTCCAGAGAGGGGGATCCAGTAGCTTGCTTAGCAGGTGTCGAGAGTATGATTGGTATGGCAGGTGGTGTGGGTGGAGCTGGTGCTATGTCAGCGTCTGCTTCATCAGCACTGTCATGAAGATCGGGCCATTCTGATGGAAATGGTGGATCGATATCAGAGTGGGAAGGTACCTTGAAACACTCTGAGCGTTTAACACGGTAGAATGTGCTCTGGAGTTGGTTCCCGATGAATTTACGGACACTGCACCACAACCCATCAATGGCTGTCACAAGGTAGCGGTTTCGTCTTTTTGTTTTGTTGCGGTCACCATGGAGATATACTAAGTCCCCGATGGCAACAACAGTGTCAGATGCAATTCTGCCTGATGGTGTCTTCGCCTTTTCACTGTGGGGATGATTAGCGATGCGAAGGTCCTGCTGGTCAAAAATCAACTGCCGGTCGGTGATGGGAATCTGGCTGTTTGTGAACTGATCCCGTTGATACCACATCTCGTGAGTGGAAAGACCACGGGAGCGTATGTGGGAATTCAGGCAAGATGTGGCTAATGCAAGAGTCAGTGGTGATACGGCGCCGCCCATGGGATCTTGGTGCAGGAGCTCGTCTTCCAGCTCTTATACAGCTTTTTCGGCAACTGGATTCTTGTCGATATTCTTGATGCGGCCAATTTCAATGGTCAACCTGTGCTGCTGCAGGAGCTCATCAGTCACAAGGGACCTGAAGCCTGGTACTGGGTCTCACAGAACTCACAGAACTCACAGCCATCACGGGAGAGTGTGAGGGGTGTCTTGCCCATTACCATGAGTGGGGATGAGCCATCTGCTTGATGTGCAGACTGGAGCTTTCCTTTATTGTAGCCCCTAGGCGCTTTGCAGTGGAGGCATGGATCATGTTTCCTGTGGCTCCACTATCGATGGTTATGCGGATGGTGTGATAGCCACAAAACGTGTCCAAGTACGGGGAATGTCGTGTCTGGACTCTGAAGGCGGAGGGATTGTCCCTGTCGTTCGTGTCAGGGCTCTCCTCATCCTCATTGACTACTTGGGGCTCGTCTCCTGCTCGGGGAGGTGAGGGCACTCGCTCAGGAAGTGATTGGAACTGTTCCATCCAACCTGTTTGGGGGCGAGAGGGGCGTCGTTGTGGTTGACATAGTTCGGACCTGGGTTGCGAGCCGAAAGACGGGCGTGAAGGGGGAGGGCGTGAGGTTACTGTACGCATCGCCTTCGGGTCATCGGAGCGAGCCAAGGGCTTGTGATATCTCAGGCTTGATGGAGGCGAGTGTGCGTGACCGGAGCTCTGTACCGTATTGCTGCTTCACTAACTTTGGCAGACTGGTATGTATGTTAGGACGATAAAGTTCTCTAGGGAGGGAGACAGTTCCTCATCCTCAGTAACTGGCTGGCCATGATGGGAAATTCCGCTGTCCGAGCGGAGTAAATTGTCCTCTGCAAATGCCATGAGGCGCTGGTACAGGTCTACTGGTCGCTCAGGGCTGAGGTGGATGTCAGAAAAGTCAATAAAGTGGGCGCCAGTTGATTGAAAGCCAAAGTGTAGGCGTATGACTTGCCATATGGTCTGTACTGAGGTTGAGTTCTTGATAATGGTATTTCTGGATATCACAGGGCAATAATTGGCGATTTGCCCCAACATTAGCTCAAGCATAGTTATTTTTTTGCTAAGCAGTTTTGCATTTGTCCACTGGGACTGTGTCATTGTCATCCTGGAAACCTCGTAGGGAGGCCGTTTTAATTTTCTTCCCCCACTGACAGCCCTCCACTAAGAATGGAGCAAAGTTGGAATCAAGTGAGAGTGTATATTGAAGGTTTTGCCGCCAGTTCTCGAAAGTGTTTACTGTTTCTACCTTGCTCAAGCACCACTGCTTCGGTGCGCGGTGCATGGACGCCATAGTGCACTCCGAAAATAACCACTGGATGACAAGACGATGTACTCAATTGTATGTATAACTGTACAGTCACTCACTGTGTACGTGAATGGCTATGTACCGTATGTGTCCGGTATGTCCGAGGTTTGAAGCACTTTTTCCACACTTTCTACGGTGAAGATTCGTCTCAAAACGCTGCCCCCATGCCAGTAGGGACAAGAGTTCTATCCAACACACACAATAACCGCAACTGTAATCGACTTATTGGGTATAATGGAAGACTTTAATGAACAAAGGCGGGAAAGCACATTGAGCAATATAAACGATAGAACGGAGACAAATAGGTCGAAGGTCACGAACGCAAGAGGGCGTAATCATTACTACTGGCGCTGCAAACAGGATGCTGGGATACGCTGATGAGCTTCACAGAATCTTGTGATGGAAGTGGCCTATGACCTACATGTATGTATAAAGCATCTGGCTGCAGCTGTTCAAGACCGCAGTTAGACAATGTGCGCAAATGCTTTCCGAAAACTTCCCATAGAAATGCACACGTTCCATACTGGATGTGATTTCTGTTTCATTACGGACCACGAGGACAAAATTTAAATGTGTCAGTACAACTGACATGTATGCTGTACATATATGTAACCACACATAATAAAAAAAGAAAATGAAGAACTCGATTGACAAACAAAATATATAGATTGAACTTGAAAACATCCACAACGTTTCTAACATTTTATGTGCATGATTCATTAGTGAGATATTTTAAGAAGCATATTTATATGAAATGGCTATGTAGGTTAAGGGTGCACTTACCTGCGTAGGTGGATGATTTTCTATCACTATATTCATAGGATGGTCCTGTGGCCTCCACTGTAATAAACAATATATAGAGAAACATTATGATATCGCTCACTGGTACTTTAACATTAACAAATATTGCTGATCAATTCAGACACTCATCAATAAGCACATTCTTTATTTCTCTAGTTAGCATGGAAGGAGCTCCATACTTGATACGCTACTAATGAGACATCTGCATCTAGATTTCAGTGAACAGCTGTACAAGAAATAAATTCTGATACAGTCAACCATAGTGAAATTGCCCAAAACAACTTTCAGCTGAACAAATATCTCTTGTATTATTACTTGTAATGACAAGTATAACTCTGTGATTTCTTTATATAGTACCTTTCATGAAGGATATTCTCTGATCACTCAGTCGTCTCAATGAGTGTGTCTTGCCTGTATCTGTCTGCACACCAGGAACTGTTAATAAAACAGACAATTCAGGAGTAAAACCATACTTTTTTGTTTTAGGGGGGGGGGGGGGCAAATGAAGCCAGTGAAATCCACAAGTTCTTTGGAAAGAATGAAGTTACTTAAGGTTACTTCTTTCCATGCGCACATTTTACTCATAATCAACTCTAGTACTTATGAAAAGGCTCATACTAGATTATGTTAAACATGCACAGTCTGTTTTAAGTTTTGTATGACTCATACCATACTTTCAATGGGGAGCACTGTTCAAATTTGACAATTATTAACACTATATTACAAAATAGTTTACAAATACCCCCTAACCAAGCTGGCTCTGTCCGTATTTTGTGCACAGGCGGACATTATTACCAGTATAATTTTTTTGGGTGGGGGGGGGGGGGGGGGCATATTATTATTACTAGGATTTCTTCTTTTTTTTTTTGGACAGAGCTTCTTTTTTTTGACCCCCCCCCCCATCCCTGGATCCACACCTGAACAACTTGTCCAAAGGCAAAATGTTTACTTTTGCACGATGCCATCGCTAGAAAAAAAGAGGAAGTATAATGACGGATTCATGACGTGGCATGACGGGTAGGCCCCGAGAGGAAGCTCCTTGGTTGATTAAATCTGTTAGTGTTTGAGTCTGTCGGCTGAATAAATATAGCTATTTGGGCAAATGAATGAAGTACACTGGTTGTTTAGGTTCAAGGAACCAGCAGGACAAGTGGCTGGCTGGCTTGGTGGCTTCATGTTTTGGCCGAATACAACTTTGACATCAAACAACGACCTGGACGTCAGCACGAGAATGCAGATCATATGTCATGGATGCCATGCCGACAGTGTGAAATGTCAATGGAGAGGACAACAGACAGGACGGGGCAAATCACCAAGATTTGACACCTGACCAAGTTTCATTTACAGTCCTGCCACAGGAACTTGTAGACCAAGTAACAACCAACTATCAGACAAGGAACCAGTCAGTCAAATTGGCCTTAACAAGCCCAACACAAGACCCAACTGGAACCAGAAGTTCCTGCAACACCTGGGAGAAACCTAAACTTCTTAAGTCTGCATCCAGACAAAGCTGACCATCGGGTCCGAGTCTCGTAACCCGTCCCCTCCTCCTGCGCAAACAGTGACAAAGATGCTGGCAATGACAGTGGCACCGAGGATGGAGCATCACGAAACAAAAAGCCAAATAGAGCTGGTGGGCAGAGGTTGAATCGTGGAGCGCAGCACCCACGAGGTATATGATGGCAGCCAGATGGTAGAATTAGGGATCCAGTATGATCAAAGATGGCTGCCCCCACGGACCGCCTACCTGCCCAACATTCAACGCCAAACATTACAAACTGTAAGTGTTGATAATGTGCCAGCTAGTTGTAATTCTACCATGAATGAACACAAGAACAACTTGATGGAATTAATGACACTGTTTGAGATTGTTGGTGCGCCATATATCGGCAACAAGTTTGCACATATTTATAACGGCAATCTGAGACCGAGTCTGTCCTTTTCCTCTACATGTGATGGGAGGATTCAAAAGAACCATCGACAGATCATGTGCACTGTTTGCACTGAAGTCTTTCATATGAAATGTACTGGAATGACTCTTCGTACATACAAGCACTACAAAGCAAATGATGAATTGTACATATGTGGTACATGTGCCCTTCCTCAGCTGAATGATTCCTTTTTTGAGACTCTATATCTGAGTGACCGTCAAGACTGTAATACGTTACTGCCATGTAATTATGATAGCACCATCGACAACGACAAGTGTACCTTCAGCGGTCTACCCATAAAGGGCATCCGAATTGGCAGCTGGAATCTGAACAGAATATCCAATAAATTTGAGCAACTCAAGCTGGCTCTTTGCAAAGATCCGCACCCCCTGGATGTGATTGGTTTATCTGAATCATTTCTTGGACCAAAGACTGATACCACATCATTACATATTGATGGCTATCATCAGCCAGAGAGGCGCGACAGACCCAACAAACATGGAGGCAGTCTATTGGCATATGCCATTAGTTACACCTGCAGGGTGGATCTTAAAACTGATCATGCTGAAATCATGTGGCTCCAGATCGAGCCCTCTAGAGCCAAGAAGTTCCTTGTCGGCTACATCTACAGACCACCAAGTGCCAAGGCTGAGACAGATTGTGTCATCAAGCAAAATTTTGAGATTGCCATCAGTCAAACATGGATGTGCTCATTTTTGGTGACATTAATTTGAGCTTCTTCAAGCAACCTCACCAGCCTACTTGATATAGGCTACACTCAATTGGTCTTGGAAGTAACCTGATATGTATCCGGAACTTGTTTGGACCATATTTATGTCAGCAATCCATCGACAATTCATTCTGTGATGGTCCCCCATGTTGGGTTATCTGATCATTTTCCTGTGGTTGTTACTAAAATGCACAACGGATCATTTTCCAAAATGTCATCTCATCGCAATATTAAGTACAGGAAGACCAAAAACATAAATGTGAATGAATTTAGGTCTGACATGATGAATGCACCATAGCATTTTTTAGATGGAATAGACAATCCCAATGAGCTTCTCCTTCTCTGGAACCATATATATTCCAGCGTTGTCAATAAACATGCCGTGTTAAGATAAACATGTTACGATACTCCAGCAAACACCATGGTGGAATGACATCATCAACTCAGCAATGCGTACAAGAGACAAACTCTTACAACGCTTCAACCAAGTCAAATCTGAAGCATTGTTAACTGCCTATAGAAAGGCCAGAAACAGAGTCAACTATTTAATCAGAGCAGTGAAGCGGGACTTTACACAAAAACTTTTCAAGACAATTTAAATGACCCCAAGGCAATGTGGAACACTATCAAATCAGCTATGAATACAGCCAAATCTGTTTGCCCGAGGCTTAACAAGAGAACCGCTGATTCGTCTACTAAAATTGATGCTGCTGAAATTGCTGCAGATTTTAATCAACACTTTATTAGTGTTGGGGACAAATATCGTCCGGACTGTGACAATATTAATCCGAATTTTGATAAATTGCATGCTTTTAACAACCAGAGGAAACTGAGCAATGATTATTTGGATTTGAGTATTCCTCCTATGAGTGTCAGATTTGTTCTTGATCATTTACAAAAAATGTCCAACTCAAAACCCTATATTTTTGATACCAAGGAACCCAAGTATGCAGTCCTCTTAAAAATTAAATAGGAAACATACCGACTCTTAAATAATCAGAAACAGTTTTGTATAATGCAATTTGGTTTTGATGTCAGCGTATCAGCGAAATAAAATCTAGACATGAAGCCAAACCAGATAGCCTTTATAAGATCGAAGTTTCACTTCTTGTTAACTGTTAGTGATACAAATGACTTTCTCTCTTGTCTTTGTTATGTAGTTTTCAAATATTCGTAACTCGAATTGACTCGAGGTAAACATTTGACTCCATCCGACTCGACTCAAATTATTGTTCTGCTCAGAAGAACATTTGTACCTCCAACTGGTGAGCCAAGGGAATGGTTATAGCCCTGGAAAACCAATCAATGGGGCCAACATGGAGTTAAGAAGAGGACCTTGTCATCCTTCTGCTCCAGTTGATTAAGTACCCGAGGGATAAGAGGAAGACGACAGGAAGGTGTATACAAGTAGCCTGTCCGTCTTCATCACCATCGTATTCGTGTGCCATGTGCAGGGGTCAGGAACCCTCAGGCATTAGCCTGGAAATCTGTGACTAGTTCATGAAACAAGTCAGATTGACATGTGGTTAGTTGTCCTTGCTTTGGAGGAGGACCGTCGAAAGCAAGAAGCTATGAGGAAAACCCCAATGGGGTATTTCTCAAGTGAGTGTACACAGTTGTGCAGGCTGCCTGCCCACCTGGTCAAAGGAGTAAACCACAACCGTGTCAAAGTCACATCGAACCAGGATCATCTGGCACAACACCGAATATAGAAAGTAACATCGCAGTTTCTCCGAGACTGCCAGCATCTCAAGTATGTTAATGGAACTTGAATGATGCTCACACAAGGCCTCACCAATCCGCCACTAGATGCGAGTGGTGGGCAGTTAACTGGCAGGGTAACATGTCTGCCATGACAGTTAGTGAAGGCTGCAATCTGTGAGAGGCCCACCCTTGTGAGGTTGGCAACGTCGAACCACAGGAGGTGCTGCACAAGTCAGGTCATGGCCTGCACTGAATGCAGTGAGGACTGGGTCGATACAAGCAAATAGGTGAATGCCACCAATCTTTGTTTCCACAGTGCAGTCATATCGCCTTTACTATCTCAGCAGAGGCCAGGAGTGAGGCGGAAAAAAGGCTGGAGGAAGCCACCATGAAATTGCAGCAAGAATCTTTGTTTGAAAACCGCGAAATTCTCAGTGCTCTGGCCTGAAAATGAGTTGCAGTTTGTGTACCCTTCAGGCCAGGGCTCGATCCCCATGCTGATGTGTTAGACAGTCGACTAAATCTCATGAACATCTTCCCAAGGGAAATACAAGACGGGCGCAACACTGTGCTGGCCCGATGGTATTGATGTCAGCCTCAAAGTCTCTCTGACGAGCTTCTACGAGACAGATGGGTGGAGGTCGTCATGAGTCAGGTAGGTCACTTATGGAAGTCATCAAAACAACTGAAGCCGAATCGAAATCGTTGTTACCAGTGAAGGCCTTATCCTATGTGGCATGGCGTACAGAAAATGTTGCTAGCACGGCCACACAAATCATCTGGGCAAACTTCAAGAGGTATGCAGTTGAGAAAACAAACAACTGTTTGTTCTTCACCTGCGCTGGCCTGATCATGAGGTTGATGGCTATCTGAGATTGACCATCTGAGTACATGTAGTCGACATCGACCAATATGGATGTAAACATCGATATCCACCGCAAAAGAAAAGATCTTTGTCCGTTAAAAACTTAAAAGGTGGGACTCGAATCTTTGGCGGATGCCCTTTGACGGGAGAAACAGTTCATCAAGCATGTTACCCCGGCGGGCCAAGATTGCTAGGGTCTGCACTCGTGTAAAATTATAGAGTACTGAGTGCAGACCATGAAATTGACAGTGAAAATAGCGGTCACTACGTCCGCTAAGACTGTCGAGTCAAGATTAAAACATTAAACCTAATGTACTTCATGAGGATAAAGAGGAAGGCTGAATGCGTATCGCCGAGCCCACTTTAATTCTACTGCAAAGTGTATTCAAGCTTCTGCGAGTATTATTTACGAAGAGCCGCTTAAAAAATGGGTTCCCTCTACTGCTGGTAGCTTGCGCTTAGCTGCATTGAAGAGGGAAGATGTGACAAAAAAATACGGAAAACGGTAATGATCACATTATTGCTTGAAGAGCAGCAGGCAGTTTGAATACAGGCACAATCTTTCGAATGTGGTCCACAACATGCCTGAACTATGGAAGTATCACAACCCCCAGTCGCTTCATTGTGAAGAGCAGCTGCCATCTAATGAACCATCCTTATGCAAGAGTCGAATAGACCCCGTAAACGAGAACCGTAAAACATATCTGGAGGGACGAGTTGCACACGGCCACAGTCAGTTGTTGAACAACTCCCTCGGAGACAATGGACAGTGTACATACACAAGTAATGCACACATGTACAATGTACATGTACATGAAAAATGTAGCGATCTCAGTACAGCAAGAAACACCGCCGCACGGCTAAGCACTGCGCGGCATGTCCCATTGTCCTTGAGTCACCCAACCGTGATTAATGTAGAGGGCTACAGAGTTCACGGCTCGCAACTGAACTCAGACGGACGTTTCATTAACGTGCCCGCCAGGCAATACATGTACCTGTGTAAATGTATATGACCGATAATGAAGCCGAGAACAATTGCAAGGCTTGTAATGAGTGGGCTGAAAAACCGAGTTTTCATCCCGGTAGCGTATGCCGCGGTGGGATCGGTGCAATAAACTCGCCCGGATTAGAAAAAATAATGAAGCCGTTCCCGCCTGAGAAATGGACACCATTTTGTCCGTTGTCGATGTGTTTCACACTTGATCCAACGGAGGTATGGGGAACACCTTGTCATTGTTAGATGTGGAGCCCGTCGTGCGCTTGATTTGAAAATTTTGTGATCGGACGGAGGTGGCTCATCGGCGGAGGGTAATTTAAGTACCCGTGTAATGTCCCTCTGCAGCAAATGGAGTTCCGTTTCCGCGATGGACAGCCGTTGTAACCGGTCTGATTCTTCGTCATCATCAGATGAATCAGCCGAATGCGAAGGCCAAAATGACCCCGGTGACTGAGAGCCGTCTGGAGGGGCTAGTTGTACAGAACCACGCGGTGGTGGCTGGGCAACACCCTCGGAGATAATAGACATACATTGTACATAATATTATGCAGATGGGTGAAGACTAAACACAAGCGGGGATCCTGGCGCACGGCTAACTGTGTGCGGTAGGTCCCGTTGTCTCTGGACCACGCGACCGTGGCCCACGGCTGGCGAATGTGAAATTCCGTTCGCCGTAGGCCGGGCTTCCGGTATAGCGCACAACCATGTGTGGTATACATGAACATGTACATGTATGAACATGTGTTTTTTCATTTTTGTACATGTACATGTACCTCGTTGTGCTTGGGCCACGCAATCGTGACCAATGAATGACGACTATGAAGCATTCACTGCAGATAAGGACATGTCATTTTTGTACATGTACATGTACCTCGTTGTGCTTGGGCCACGCAATCATGACCAATGAATGACGACTATGAAACATTCACTGCAGATAAGGACTGATGATACAATTCAAAGATTAATTTGCTGGATTCAACTCAAGCAATTTAAGGAGATAATCCAGGGTAAATCGAAGCCAATTAGTGCAATGAATCATGTGTGCAAAAGACCATTCATGTAAGTCAGCAAAATGACGACTTACAGCAGATATCGGCATTCGCGTAAGTCGTCACAAATTCTCGGGTCCCGAGAGTGCCAACTTGGAGAGTTTACTGTATTCTGAGGCACTTTTGTCAGTGTTTTAAATAAATGTCTAATAAATAATTTAACCCTTTAAAAAGTTGCCTGTCCTTTCATCTTTGCCGTAGCCCAATAGTTTTTTGACTCACCAGCCGGGCTACTTAAGGAATAGTGTGACTAGCCTGCTGCTGTTTTGACTAGCATTTGGCTAGCGGGCTACCGCTAATTTTGAACCCGGCCTTAAGAATAGCACTTTAAATAACTGAAAAGGCTACCCTGTTGAAATAAAACTAGTATATATGCAACAAGTCTATTTAAAACGTCGGTGAAGGGCAAAAACCTAATTTGAAGCCTATTTGAGATGCAACAAGCCTATTTGAGAAATGGCCGACACAATAGAGGGCGCTATTTGGTTTGGGTAAATACAAAAGATTTTACCCAAATCAAACAGCGCCCTCCTATTGTTTCTGCCATACCTAATGCTGTTTTTGATCTTACCTAAGCAGCTTGGATTAAGAGTGACAGCTCTCTTGGCTCCTTTGTTGACCACCGACAGAACCCGTGGTACTGTGTCAATCAGAGAAGTTAGTGCACTGTGTCCAAAGTTGGCCGGCTGTAGTTGTACTCCATGCAATTTGTGATATTTAGCAACCAACTCCTGAAATGTCATGCTCAAACGATTGTCTGCAATCAGGACATTGCGGGCTTGACGTGCAAACTGATGGGCAGGAGTTAGTTCTATGTAGCATTCATCCAACCATTCATTCTGAACCTAGGGTAAAATAAAACCAGTCAAGTTATGCAAACAATAATGAACACATAAACTTTTAAAATTACAATTGAGGAAATCCTATTTTATAACACACCTTTTGCTTATTCTCTATCCTAGTTGGCTAAAATATGGCAACGTGTCGTGTGACCATGGGGTACTGATCACAACCTTAGTAATTATCCCGTTCCGGAACAAAGGGCACACAAAAGTAGCCTGATTGAGGAGAGGCAACTGAATGAGGAGATTCACATTCACTTTCCCTTTCTTGTGGAACTTGTTTTTTGTTTTTCAATCCTTTTGTAAGACCTTTCATAGTTTTAGCCAGCTGGCTCGAAAATTCAAGTATTTTAAATATTGCTGGGGCTCACTGGTGATGCCCCTGTTTCCGCCAATTTCTTTTAACGTGCAGTTACATGTGTACAGTCGACTCTCGTTATTACAAGGTTCTCCCGACTTATTTAATTTCGTTGTATTATAAGGAAGCTCGTCTTATGCAGAAAGTCATTTTCCAGCCATTTGGAAGTGGAAGACAGAGGGCGTAGTTCGGCTATTAAATGCAAAATCATCGGAATTGAGAAGGATAAAATTAAATTAAAATTTTACTGGCAAGTGCGGGAGACTTATTTTAGCATGGCATAGATGACATCCTAGAGGTATTGATTACAAAGGGACAAACAACCAAGGTGTGGGTTCATTATATTTTCCTTTTTATAAATTTTCTCGGGGTAGGGGATAGGTACGTTCGGAAGGGTTTTGACCTCTTAAATAGTAGGAGGGTTAAAGAAAGAAAACATTCTAACCAACCAAACCACTATAGCTACATGTATGCTTAAACCACCACTTTAGCTACATGTATGCTTAAAATAAGTGAGTCATACACGAACCAATACAGCCTGTGAGTGGTCATACAGACCATTTACTGCTCTTGCACCATTGAGTCCATAGTCCGTGGCACAATAACCAACTTTCAATTACAAAGAACATGAGTCTTGCAATTGAAGTCCAACCTATATGATGATCAAATACAATATCCAAAACTGAGAGGAATGTATTGGGTTTCTTTTCAAGGGCAAGTTTTGTTGAGATCCAGTTCTTTGATGTCTGTGAATCCTGATTACATAATACCGTTACCACTCTAGGAGTAAGCTACTGTCTTACCATGAGAACATAGTGAAGCATTTTCATGAGTGTGACCAGTCTGCTATGTCCATACTCAATGGGAATCAATTCTTGGCCCCAAACACTATGGTAAGCTACGCTAACATCCTTGATAGCTAGACGTCCATCATCAGATTCCAGTAGTACCACTAATATCTGCTGTGTCAACTGGCTTAAGTGCATATTCTCTACCAGATGCAGATGGTGTTTAGAACCATCACTTACAATCTGCAAATTAAAAGTTGAACAAAGTAACAAACCCAAAATTCACCTGTTTTAGACTGACATTCTAGAGTGGCACCTGACCAATGCTCAATGACTCAAGTTAACCCGAATAGAATTTGGTTTCAGAAAGCAAACGGTATGCATCAATATTTGCTGGTCCCAGAGGGCCAGCCTAGTGTCCATTTTGTACCTGACTGACTCACTGACTGTCACTTGTGACTTAGATTTATATAAGTCTTAGCTTGGCTCAAAAGTTTTGTCTCAGATGACTAGTTGGGTGAACCGTGTATACACATGTAAGTTTGTATAAAATGAATGTCATAGGGTGGACCATGGATATGAGTTGCTGGTTTTATACCAACTGACTGACTGACTGTCACTTGTGCTTAGACTGGTTGTAGGCTGGTGCAGAGGGCTGGGCAGTACTTTCATAAAGTATTACCTTGTAATGCCAATCTACGGTCAAATCAGGCCAATTGTGTAGCAAAGATGCACGAAAAAGCTACACGTGAATATCAATTATGAATCAATTGAATAGAATTGTGTGCTCATGAACCAGCTTTCCTAAGCTGGCCTTGTCTTGTTTATTAAATGAAGGGATGTCTAAAATCAAAATGCTCTATTCTGAACGACTGCAACAGTGTTTGTTTTCTTGGGAACTTTTCATGTACTTGATGCAAACGTTGGTAATCATTTTTGGAATGCCAATCTTTACTGGTATTTTTCAGATTTACAACATATGACATAAAACTTCATGCACGAACTTCAGCATATGTGAATTAATCAAGTTGACAGCGCTGCTTTGACTGTCATTTACCCTTTATGAGACCACTCTACCCACTAAGTATATTCCATATTATACACATATTGAGTGGCTCAGCGTGGAATGGGAGGAATATTATCGCAATGTAAAATCTGGACTTTTCCCCTTCACGAGGCAAAGCCGAGTGAACTGGAAAAGTCCAGATTTTACCGAGCAACAATATTCCTCCCATTTCACAATTTCAAGCCACTCAATATTTGTTTTATATAGATCCTTGTCATTTGACATTTTATTTCAATACAAAATTGGTGGAAAATGTATTTCCCTCTTCCAAACCACCCCTTCACAAAAATGTTTGAACCCAACGCTGTAGCGCTGGCTCTTTGGAACAATACGCGCTACGCGCTACGCACAACGCTGAACGCGCACACCAGCATGCATTTGCACACAAATACCACGTCATGGAACAAGAATGATCCTAACTGTTCAATATTATTTCCCATTCCCCATGGGCGAATGGGACTTTTTGAACCCCGGCGTGAATGGGAGCAATAACGAATGTCACGTGATGTGAGTTCCACCAATCAAATGACAAGGATCTGTATGTCGGTTATATAAATCTGAACTTTTCCGTGCATTCACAAAATAAAACAAGATGATTCTTCCATATCATCCTATTATACATTTTAAGGGACACGCATAAAAGTGCAACATGGAGTCACCATAACATTAATTGCTAATGACAAAGTCAGGAGTGTTGGCATATCTGCCAGATATGTGTTTCCTTAACAGCAGATTATATCATAATCAGCCTACCTCAACTACATGTGGAAATCTAGCCATCAACTCTTGCATATTCTTGGTATGATAGTCCTTCATGTAGATTGGATACATGTAACATCTTGTATACATCTCATTAAATGTATCTAAGTTAATGAGATGTAGGCGATTCCTCTGTAACATTTCTGAAGTATGACGAGCTATGAGTGCCAGCTGTTCCTCAGTAGTCAAAATGACCACACGCTCATCTCCTTGTTCTTCAACCTGGTCATTGGAAAAATAAAAGTTACTGTGCAAATTCTGGTATCCGAAATGCATATACGGGCAGTTGAACACTGATAAGAAGAGCACTGTTAACACAACCTACTGCTTACAACAAGAAAAATGTTAGGCCCACAGTCTTTCTTTTTTTCCCCCTTTGTTTTCCATTATTAATAATACAAGGTACCTGTTATAACAAGGTAATATGTAAAGTCCCAAGGACCTTGTTATAAAGGCATTCGACTGTACAGGCCTACATGTATATCATGAATTAACTGATAAATTTATTTTATTAACAAATAAATTTGTTATATCTTGTGCTTGGATACTGTAATTTCATTGGTCTAGAACAGCCTCGTGTCAAGATAATAAAAATAACAGCGTTGCTGTTGAAACCCCTCAGCCAAAGTTTGTCGAAAAGGGCAAACTGACATTCCAAACTCAAATATCATGTCCAACTGAAATTATCATGCAGAAACCATTAACTCACCACAGTGACCTTGACCTTTGGACCCCAAAACCAATCCCAACTTGCCTGTACCCAAGGGCAACCCCCTACCTAAGTTAGACACCAAAATCTCATTTCCAACTCAAGTTATCATCCAGAAACCATTTACCTTTAACGCACCACGGTGACCTTGAACTTTGACCCCAAAACCAATCCCAACTTGCCTACTCCCAAGGGCAACCCCCTACCAAAGTTAGACACCAAAATCTCATTCTAACTCAAGTTATCATCCTGAAACCATTTACCTTTAACTCACCACAGTGACCTTGACCTTTAACCTTTTGACCCCGAAACCAATCCAACTTGGCTTCTCCCAAGGGCAACCCCTACCAAAGTTTGACATCAAAATCTCATTTCTAACTCAAGTTATCATCCGGAAACCGTTTACCTTTAACTCACCACGGTGACCGTGACCTTTGACCTTTTGACCTCAAAACCAATCCCAACTTGCCTACTCCCAAGGGCAACCCCCTACCAAAGTTACAATCCCAAACAACATTTCTAACTGAAGTTATCATCCGGAAACTCCGGTCGGTCTAGCCAGACGGAATTGTGGGGTGATAGCATTGTGTTCCCATTATCCCTTTTTCTAAAGATTCTCTTCTGGGGTGATGTTTTTCTATTGTGAAAATAGTGGGGTGATGTTTCCTGAAAGGAACATCACCCCACAAGGGGGGTATGGTCAGAACGGACGGACGGACGCCGTAGGCGATGACAATACCCCTCGAGCCTCTCAGCTGAGTAGTAAAAATGCTTGTCACACACTGATATCCATTTTTATGTAGAGAGCAGAGATATTGCACAGCGTTCATTGCGCGCACACAGCCGCACACGCGTGTGGAACCTGCCAGCACTAGATTCACACAATGAGAACTGCAACGTCAACCGCTCAGTCTAATGTCCGGCAGGTCGTCAAAGCCCTCAGTAATCAAAGGTTACATCTCACTGATTTAATTAGTTTCTCACACAGTAATTTACAACCATTTATCTGTTTGATTTATTGGCACGATATAACAAAACAATTGTTGACTGCTGTGATGTGGGATATGTCGTTTTTAACCCCCTCAGGGACACCTCTTAATTAATAAATAAAATTTGTCCTGGTCCTTTGCTGGAAGTAAAAGTTTAGGCATGTGCTCAAGCAGCAAATACTGGCAAATGTTTTTGGGGTACCAGCAGTGCACCACTGATCACACCTTTCTATGACCACACAATGCATGGTAGATCATAAGCTAGAACAGGCTAGATACCTGATGCCAAAATGCACTCATCAGCCCAACGTTGCAAGGTTTTGCCATGCACATTGCATGTTTTAAAGCATTTTGACAAAGGATAGCTAATTTTCAATGAAAAACAAACACAAACTAGAGGTCTATGTCTGTTCGATGAACAGATGATAAGGCCTTTTTGCATTTTGATATTTTTCTTTATGTTTATGGTTTTTTTTGCATTTCTGTGAATTCATGTAAATGATCAGTTCCATGTACGAAAATAGTTCCATAAAAATTTGACCACTTATTCTTAATCTGTTGCATTTTCTATAAACTAATAGTGACGTCACACAATTAGTGACAATTTTGTGCCCATGATCATGACCTACTGAACATGTTAAAAGTATTTTGATTTTAGCATTTTTGGGGCTAGATGTAGAGAAGAATGTTAAAAAATGCCAATAATATTTAACATTTTAATAAATCCATACACAATTGTATTTCATCATAGTGTCACATCAATTTTTACCTAGAACACATTCCTATCAATGTACATACTAACTTTCAACCCGACCAGACTTGTAGTTCTCTAGATAAAGGACTTTAAAATATCACCTTTACAATGACAATACGTGAAGTTTGCAGAATTGGTAGAAGAGAATGTCAAATGTTTGTAAGTAGACCACAATTTAAAAAGTTTCAACATTTATTAAAGAAATCAGATTATGACATCATTGTGACATCAATTTAAAATGTGCATGTTTGTACCATTATGTACCTAAGCAGGCGCGTACGCAGGGGGGGTGTTTTGGCTGTTAAACACCCCCCTTTGCCATGTAAAAATATGAGGGGAAAAGAGAGTTATGTGACCGAGCGCGGAACAATTACAAATTATGTGCATGTTCTCAACTTTAAGCTTTGAATACAGAAGACACTTAAGAGCAAGAGTATATAGGCCAATATGTATTTGAAACAAATGAAACAAAATATCCCCTTATAATTTAAAAAACTTCTGCTAAAAAAAACAGGGGAAAGTGGCCAGGAAACGCCTCAGATTGCACCACAGATCATCTACGATCCAAAATTTCCCGGGGCCCTTAAGCGGGCCCCGGACCCCACGCCGTAAGTGCTTCGCGCTCCGCGCTCGCATTGGTCCTCCGGCCAAATTAATCACGGGACATACCGTTATTTCGTTTTACTGTTTTGGATTTCCTCAAAAACAAAAACAGTAAACGAACCATTGACCGTTTTCTCGTTTTACAGTTTTGTAAAACGGTCAAACGGTATTAAGTCACACACACAAAATACTTGTTGTTGTTGTTTTTAATTGTAGAAAGCGATAAACGGTTAGTTGCTTTATTTTTAGAGTGTTGTTTTACAAAATCATGACAATGACAAAACGGTCAATAGTCTTACCGACCATTTTTTGATTTTAGGTTCGGCAATTAAGCAATGCACCGGAATGTTAATTAATGCGCCCTTGGGATCGACTCATTGCCTGGGCCCCGCTCCTTACATTTCGTTCTCACGACAAAATTTGCGAATTGGCTATTGAAGAGCCGCGTCGACTTGAACCCCGGTTTCCTTCAAAATGTCTGCAACTTCATCAAACGTCTTATTACCATCCTGTTTCCATTGTGAAAAGTAATGTCCTCCCTTGAAGTTTTCTAGCGCCATATTGCTTGGAACTCTTTAAGCCCCACCAACTTGACTGAATCGCATGAGAAAGGGGTCAGGGTCCGCGCCAGGAATCACATCACGCATTAATTATGCTGAGGTTACACTTCTTCGTGTAAAACATGTAATGGTCCCCCTCCACCCCCTTGCCCACCGCCACAAAATGCACCACGGACTGTTAACCATGACACTGGAATAAAAAAACAGTCTGTATTTGTGTAATCTGTAAAACAAAAATCATTGATCGTTATGCTATAATGAATTTTACTAAACTTATAAAACGGAGAAACCGTATTTATCTTAATACCGCTTGTCGTCTTATAACACTATAAAACGACAAAACGGTCGATGATTCGTTTACTGTTTTTGTTTTTGAGGAAATCCAAAACGGTAAAACGAAATAACGGTATGTCCCGGGATTCAAATTCCCTCTATGCTATAATTTCACCCTAGCGGTGCCCCCACCATTTTGTACCTTAAGTGGCATAAATCCCTTTCCAAAATAGAAAATTGTGAAAAAATACGGAGATGGAACATGGTTCTCAACTTTGAGTACGTAACAAACTTTATAAACAACAAAAAAAACATAACAAATTTAAATGGAATTTTCGATGTTTAAAACGTTTTCTAAACGGTGGAAGTGGCCAGGAATCGCCTCAGATTGCACCACAGAGCATCTAAAATCCCATTTTTTCCCGGGGCCCTTAAGCGGGCCCCGGACCCCACGCCGTAAGGGCTTCGCAGGTCCTGGACCCTTCATTACAATAATTCTAGGCCCCCCGGCAAATGGCAGTCTGAATCCGCTCCTGTGACCAGAGCGCATATCAGCCATTCCATGTAAGGGTCATCACCAAACTCAAAAATTGAAGTGAAAGGAATAAATTTTTGTCAGTTATATTTGATAAGAGGAATATTGAAACCATCTAAATCTCAAAATATTTTTTTAAATAAATCATTTGAATTAAAATTTCAGCCTCCTGAACATGGATGAATTTTGTGGGCGAAACAGAGGGTCAGGGGTATAAATCACAAACTGAAGAAGTAATTGAAGCTCATTCATAAGAATGTGCTTTATCTGCATACATTTGGTAGCTATTCCAGTCTATTTGATAAAACATTGAGAATTTTTCCAAATGTCTTCAGTATTTTCCCACTATTTCATTGTGAAAACACCCTCAAAAATATGTCACGCGAGTCACAAAAAAAGGACTTTTTTTCAGATTACTTAATAACTAGAGAGGGATTCAGCTAGTGTTTGATATTTGTAAATGAAATAGTGGTGGTCTATCAATAAAAGTATGAATATTCTTATTTGCTCTACATTCCTTGTAGAAAAAACTATCTCAAGAATGTCACGCGAGTCACACATGATGTATGTCACGCGAGTCACCAGGGGCGGATCCAGGAATTTTCGCAGGGGGGGGGTGTTTCATCAGCCAAAAAATCTGAAAATGTACACACGTTTTTTTCTCCGGACACTTGGCCTCCGTAAAATAAAAAACTGGGGAGGGTGGGGGACGGGGCTGGTACCAATTTCAATCGGGGGCGCTGTTCAAATTCGACGAACACATTACAGAATGGTGTACCGTATTTTGAACAGGCGGACA